CTCACCATTCTCTTAATTTTTTCAACCATCTTGCTCTTCTCACTCCTCTCGCTCTCAAGATCCTTGAGCAAGCGTGGATTTTCCGGCTCGATATCCTTAATTTGATTTTGACGATGCAACTTCAACATGTCATTCATTTCATCTACAAGCTTAAACCTTTCCTCAAGACTAGCGTAATCTTGTTTCAGATTCTCATGATCCTCCTTCAGAGTCTCATATTTGATCCCAAACAATTCCTCTTGATCAGACATACTGCTTGACGCCGATAACACCTTCTTCTTCCCCGATATGTGACAAAGATCTGATGGTTTTCCAGTCATGGTTTTGACTCCGAAACTTCACCTAGAACAGCACAAACAGCGTCAAGCTTTTTTCTACAACCAATTTTCAAAATTTCACAGATTCTATAGAAACCCTAAAACCCAAATTTGTTCTGAGCTCAACCAGAAAGAAGAACAAGTGAAAAATAATCTCGGATTTCCGTCAATTTCTCCACAAAAACCAAAATGGCAAAGGAACACAAATCTTACTAGTAGAAACCCTAAAACCTATATCTTTCAAAGCTCCCTCTTGAAGAAGAACAAAAAATCAAATCAATAGTCTGGGATATACAGAAATTTCTCCATAATCCGAACCAAAATGTGCTATGAAAGATCAAAAAGAGAGAGAGAAACAAAACCTTACCCAGAATCTTCCTCGACGGTACACATCAAACATACGCAAAAGGGCCAGAAGAGAAAGAGAGCTTTTGCGAAACGGAAGAAGCTAGAGGAGGAAGAATAAAAACACTAGAAGCAGAGAAATGGAGCGGGAATGCGAAAAGACAACGACGCAACCATTGTTATCGATCCATATCGTGGAGGAAGAGATTCTCGCCGGTGAAGAAGACAGAGAAAACGAGAAAACAGATTTTGACGAAATCAGAAAAAACAAAAAATAATAACAAAAGGGTGAAAATATGGCGAGCAATTCTGGAGGCAACATGTGGGTGTGAGCAGTGTAATTTGAGTCGGCTCCAAAATCTCTTCTATGAGAGATCGTTCTCACATGTTTTTATCCCACATAGATAAATAAAGGCGTTTTTTTTTTTTTGCTTCAGAGTCGAACGATGGTTCTGCGATAGGCCTGCTCGTAGAACATGGGCAATGGGGGCGCTTAATGCAGCACTAAGCTCAAAATTAAATCGAAACTAAATTTAAAACGAGAAGTCAACACTTATTTGATCATTACAAGCGTCGGTGCTGAAGTTCCACGTGGCAGAAGATGATTGGCTCTTCGTTAATGAGAAGAAACAAATCACGTTTTTCTTCTTTATTTTCTCTTTCCATTCTCTCTCCTCCCTCTCTCTACTCTGTTGCTCTTCTATTCGATGTTGACCGGAAGCAATGATCAACTTCTGGTGTGAAATTGGTCCGTTGACGGCACATTAGTTGGATCTGGAATGACGTTGATGGTGCTATTCGAAACAAACGTCCTCTCTGTTATGGTGGAGATTTTATGGGCGGTTTTCACGGAGCTGATGAGCGGAAATGGATCGAACGCGAGATCAACTCCGTCAACGACAATCCGTTAATCGACGTCTCAAGAAACAAAGCGATCCACAGCGGAAACTTCCAGGGAACACGGATCGGAGTCTCGATGGACAACACTCGTCTAGCAATCGAGTCCATCGGAAAACTCATGTTCGCTCAATTCTCCGAGCTAGTGAACGGTTTCTACCACAACGGCCTACCGTCAAACCTAACGGCGTATCTGAGTTTGGATTACGGATTCAAAGAAGCAGAGATCGCGATGGCTATTCCGGTGACGAGCCATGTTTAATCCGCAGAGCAACACAACCAAGACGTGAATTCGCTCGGTTTGATCTCATCTCACAAAACATCTAACACCGTCGACATTCTCATGTCGACGACGTTCATCGTCGCGATTCGCCAAGCTGTTGATCTGAAACATCTCGAGGAGAATCCAAGACAAAACGTGAAAGACACTGCACTTCCATCTCCGGCACTTCTGATCATTTATAGAAAAGGACTTAAAGCAAATAGAAAAGTCACACGTAATAAAACTTGTCGCCACAATTTCAAAGGCAAACACAAATTTGATCAAATATGTGAGAAAATGAGGAGTAAGTCAATTCATGAATAATAACCAAAAATAGGATGAAAAAGAAGGTGTAGGTGGAAACTGACTTCGTTACCATGGTCATCTTCTCTCTCCGTCGTTGTAGTTCCTAATCTCTCTCTAATCTTAGATGATATGTTTATGAATGTCGAAGAAATGATAACTATTCGAGTAGGCATTCGTGATGCATACATGCATCATTGAAAACTGATTTGATTGAGAAATTGAACATGCCTTCTAAGTTTTTATTTCTGTTTATGTTCTCGAATTTTATCTTTAAAATGTTTGTATGTCAAATATTAAATAATCTAGAATAATGTTTAATATATAAATAAAATAATTAACTAAGCAACCCAAATAAGAATCCCAGACTAAAAATAGAGGTAGATAACCGTCATTTAACAAGTAGACTCAGACTAATACTCCATAGTCACATCACACAAGCAATCAATCCACATTCTCTCATAACTTGTGCAAATAAGCCATCCGAGGAAAAAAATGGACATAGATTATAAGACACTGCAAATACTTGCATACAATATGCACGTGATGTCTAATCGGCATTTCGAGCTAATGAAATGCCTTACAACGGAACTAGATGAAAGAGAGGACGTCGTGGCCATTAACGGACCCGCACACGGCTCCGAAGGAGATCGCCCGAAGTAGTCTTACAAATGATGGATACATTGAGTTAGCTTTCGTCTGGAGGTGAGTTTCATGTCATTCGGACCAGCGGTTCAGAAGATACGACGATTTTGGTTGGACTCGACCCACCAGCTCGACCGGCCAGTTTCCAACTCGATCGAGCTGCTTTTCCAGGAGTCAAAGTCAAACCCGAAAAATGTTGCTTCCCTTTGACTCCCCTTTGACCCTAAACCTAGTTTGCTTTACTATAAATGGTATTGAGCCACGAATTAAACACAGCTTTGGCTCAACATTTATTTAATCTTGTATTTGCATTTCCCTTTTTACCTTTTAGCCTCTCTTTGTGTTCTTGAGCTCTTGCTCATTGAATCTTAGATCTAGGCTTTATTATTGTATTTCTGCACTTCTCTATTTCAATAAAAGTTGTTCTATATCATCTCCTCTATCTTTTGATGTTTCATTCATTGCATTTGGTTGTTTATTTCACCATGATTAGTGAGTAGTTACATTTAGGGTTTAAGATGGGCTAGATTAGAGGATTCTTATGCTTAATCTCTATTGCTTAAGTTCATTATCTAGAAATCTCTCTCTTTTGGACAAACCTTAAGGCTACATGACCACTACCCCTGGCTTGTACACTACAAGAAAACATCGATTTAGCCACTACATTTTGCGACTCAACAATGAGTCGCCAAATATTGTTACTTATTTGTGACTAATTTAAGACTCGGTTACTACTTCACGATATTAGTCGCAAATAAGTCGCAATTGTGCTACCGCAAAGACCCGTGGTTCGGTAGTCGCAAAATTGCGACCTTTTTGCGACTAATCTAGAAATATATGAGTCGCAAAAGCGTAGCTAATTAATCACCTTTTTGCGATGCCAAAGTCAGTCGCAAAATTGTAGTCGCATAATGTGGTCGCTAACTACAGTAGTCGCATAAGAGTGACTAAGGTTGCTACTTGTTTGCGACTACGTATTGTAGTGCAATACTTGTTTCACTACTACATAGTAATCTAAGTTATTGGAATCTTTTTCTAAGTATTTCAATAATTCAATTTCTACTCAATTAATAATAGATTACACATATTGTGCAATCAAAGTTAGCAAAAATATCATTTAGGGGTTATTTAGGGTATGTGGAAAACCAAATTCATAATAAATAACTCAAAGTAGTCGCTAATTCGTAGCACAAGTGCGACTGATGTGCGACTCCTGTCGAAAATATATTAAAAAACCCGTCTTTAGTCGCAAATAAGTCACATAGTTTTAACTGCGACTGATTTGCGACTTCCATTCATCTCTAAAAGGTTTATGTGATTAAGTTTTTGTAAAATAAGATGCTAATAGTACAATACTTGTTTCACTACTACATAGAAATCAAAATTTGTTGAAATTATAGGGTTTTGAATATGATACTTCACAACTTTCATTATTTATCTTGAAATCATATTGATTTGGTTCTAAGTTATTGGAATCTTGTTCTAAGTATTTCAATAATTCAATTTCTACTCAATTAATAATAGATTACACATATTGTGCAACCAAAGTTAGCAAAGATATCATTTAGGGGTTATTTAGGGTATGTGGAAAAACAAATTCATAATAAATAACTCAAAGTAGTCGCTAATTCGTAGCACAAGTGCGACTAATGTGCAACTCCCGTCAAAAATATATTAAAAAACCCGTCTTTAGTCGCAAAATAAATCGCATAGTTTTAACTTTTTGCGACTCATTTGCGACTTCAGTTCATTTTTCCGTCTCTAAGGTTTATGTTATTACGTTTTTGTAAAATAAGATGCCAATAGTGCAATACTTGTTTCACTACTACATAGTAATCAAAATTTGTTGAAATATGATACTTCACAATTTTCATTATTTATGCAACCAAAGTTAGCAAAGATATCATTTAGGGGTTATTTAGGGTATGTGGATAACCAAATTCATAATAAATAACTTAAAGTAGTCGCTAATTTGTAGCACAAGTGCGACTGATTTGCGACTACCGTCGAAAATATATTAAAAAACCCGTCTTTAGTCGCAAATAAGTCACATAGTTTTAACTTTTTGCGACTCATTTGCGACTTCCTGTTTAACTTGTCGTCGCAAAGTCGTCGCCAAAGTTGGCGCTTCATATTTCCGAAAATTCACCAATTATTTTCAATTTGCCGGCTGAAACCCACAAATTTTTTTTCCTCTATCTCACAAAACCCTTCACCGCTTCATTTCTTCTCTCTCTCTCTCTCTCTCTCTCTCTCTCGAAATCGATATGTTGCATGTCTCTAATCCCGACTCCTTTCAACTTCTCGATCGATCCGTTCTCTTTCTCCATCTCGTCGCTTTCTCTCTATCCTCTCAATCTCTCCTAAACCTCTCTCGATTGATCTCACCCTCTCAATCTCTACCTTTCGTTTTTCCAATTTCTTGTTTTTTCCCCCAAATTCGACAAATCTCTCATTCTCTCTAAAATGGCCGGCTCCGGTAAATCTCAAAAGGGTCGTGGTGGCATAAGCGGCGGGATGGGGTCGTCGTCTGGAAGAGCTTCTTCTCACACCTCGAACAGTTCTACCCCGACTTCAAATCGCCGGCCCCTTCCTATTCAATACGCTCACAATCAAAGCCCTATTCCGGAGACAATCACACCGCGTGGCTCGACTCTTTCTCCACAGCCGTCGCTCCGTGGCTCGGCTTCACAGTCACAGCCGATCCGTCCCCAACCGCTTCGTCCACCGCCGTACGTTCCACCACAGTGGACTCCACCACCGTACAATCCACCGCCTGGCAGTCTAGAGACAGAAGCTGAACCAACGGAGCACCAATTCCCAGAAAAGCCTCAACCACCACCACATCAAGATCCACCAATGAGTATCCACGACTTGCTGCGAACACCAGGTCGTGCAGATTATTTAACCATCTTGGATCCTCTTCCAACCGCAAACACAATATGGCAATCGCTAATAAGTTTTCTTTTTTAAATTTCTTTGCTTCATTGTGTGTTCTTCTCATAACTCAACTGAAATGGCTTTGTGTTTTATTCTCATATTGTAGGTTTGATCGGGATAATGGGAAATTGGTTCGCAAAATATCGAAGCTTTTGAAAAGCAAGTTCGATGGTCCATACTACTGATATACCTCTATTTTACCTACTTTTTATGCTATTTTACTATGGTTTTCTAATGGTTTTCTAGTGGATTCTTGTGTTAAAAGGTAGTTTTTATGGATTTATATTGCAAAGAGTCATTTTAGGTAAAAAGGTGCATTATGGAGCAAAACAGAGATTTGGACTCTAAACCAGTTCAATGCCCCTGCATCAACTTTGGATGGAGCTAGAAAAAGATCTACTCAATGGATTTCATCAAGACCAGTTCCCTGCGTGCTCTGATTGAGTTAACTTTCCAACGCAACTGGAACGGCCTCATTTGGATGAGTAGAAAAGGAGTTATAGCCAAAAGAGTGAAGACTGCTCCAGACGGCTCTATCGAGAATCAGCGCCCAAACCCGCAGTCCGGCTGGCCGAGGAACGAATGTTCCGCGCTCGGCCAAAACCGATCCGTCCGTCTGAAGTCTCGGCCAAAAAACCACTCGGCCGATCACGATCACGACCCGGGAAACTAAGCCCGCGGTCGGCCACGCCACAACGCCCACGCCACCCGCGCACGACCAGCGCGCGAGCCGGGAAGTAACGCCTCGCGGCCGCGCAACTCTCGCGTACCACGGCACGAACGCCGTCCGAGCCCGGGAAGCTACGTCCCGCGTCCGGCCGAGATTTCCATCGGCCAATCCATCCGTCCGACCACGCCGGCCGACCGAACATCCGGCCACGACCGTTCCGACTCGGCCAAAGACCCGACTGTCCGGCCGACCGTCCCGACCGACCGTCCGAACGCCGCGGTCGACCCGAAGCCGTTTTTGAAGCCCAATCCGCACAATTCAAGCCCAAAGCCGGCGCCGACCTAGCTAGATTAGGTTTAGCCGTCTTCTTCATACTTAGAGCATTATAAATACTTCTTTTTAGCCTTGTGATATCACCATATTTTACATGATTTTACTATATAATTACTTATGTTTTCAAACGGTTTTTGCAAGATTCTTTGCCTTTAGAGGTAGTTTTCTTGTATTTGTGGGATTTGAAGTCTTTGTAGGTGAAAAGGATGCAAAAAGGAGTAAAAGAGCCCTAAATCAAGATCCATGCAAGTTTCCAAGTCAAGAAGATCATTTTATCTCCAAGTGTTAGTTCTCGCTGCGCGCAGAACGAAGCTTCGGAAGTTTGGCCGCGCGCGGAGGAGTTCCCGACGTCCAAAAGTTACGATCTTGATATGGAAAGATAGATACTTGAGTCATGCATCACGTCGAAGTGGAATGAAGCCATTTGGATCAACTATGAGGCCTAGACTTATTTTCTACCGAGACATGTCCGGTAAGCGAGTAAACGAAGCCCATGGAGGATTTGGAGTGTCTAATGGCCCGAGCAGCAGCGCCAAAGGCCTTGATCGAATAGAGAAGAGGCCTGGCTAATGTTTGGAGCTTTCCTTGGTACAATGTCGGCCCATACACGACGTGGAGAAGAAGGCTTTGCTCGCGGGAAACTTTCCTTTTCCGGCATGAAGAAAACCCTACGCGACTTCGCCCATATATACATGTTTTTAGCCGCTGAAGAAGAGAGTCCAGAAAATTATCAAAGAGTGTACGTGTGAGAAGAGAGAGAGGAAGAGAAGCCCTAGGAGATCGTCCAAGAAGAAGGAGGCGCCGCTCAACTCTTGTTCTTTCTTTTTCATTGTTTCCATTTCTATAAACTTGATCTTAAGAGTTTTCAAGGGAGAATCCGACTTTGTTCATCAATAGAGAAGCTTTCTTCATCCCTTTATCTCTTTTAATACTTGCATAATGTTTACAATCATGCTTTGCTTGCTTGTTTGCATCATGGCCGAGTAGATCTCTTAGTTAGGCCGAGGAGATCTATGGTGGCCGTGATGATTTGATTGTGTTGCAACTTATTGGGATTTATCTTATGGATCTTCACCTTTACTTGAGCTTAATGCATGATTACTCTACCGTACATCTAGTAATCTGATCTTAGAGAAATAGAACCACGACAGTGCTGAATCTAGATCTCAAAACTAGTATTTGGTGAGCAATAGATCATAGCCAACGAAAGCTGAGTTATGGTTTATTGTGAACAATTGAATCTTGAACCTTGTAATGCATGTTTGCAATTCTAATAGCCAACGAAAGCTGAGTATATTAGGTTGTTTTAAACATAGTGGTTGGAGCCACGACAGTGGAAAAACCATACACTAGTGATTCATGTTCAAGACGGCTCTACACACATCCCATGCAACTATCTTTTCATCATTGCTCCATATGATTGTCCTTTGCCTAACTCTTGTTTTAAATTGTTTACAAACTCACTCACATTTCTTTTGTTTTTTCTCATTCTAGGTCCAAAACCACCTCATATTGCGAGCTAGCTACAAACCAATCTCACAAGGTGTTAAGCGAGAACACTTCCTCCTCGTGTTCGACCCCGACTACAACACGGCTGTGCACTTGCAGCTCATTAGTTGGGTTTATAAATTGTGAAAATTTGAGGCAATCTAAACCCGCCTTTGTAACTCAAGAAGGAGAGAGACCACATTATATTTACATCTTAATAAAGTTTTGCTTGCTTTTACTTTGTTCTTGCTTGTTACTCTTTCTAGAGAGGATTCGAATCTCTGTTCTTATGAATATGAATTCGTGTCTGAGTAGTTTACTTGTTAAGTGATAGGAAGTCAAAGGATAGCATTCATGTATGCTTGATGATTGATCACAATTAGGGTTTTACTTATAATCTCCATCTTTGCTTATACTTAATGCTTGTTGTTAATCTGGCCAATTAGCATATGCCTTTAGGTTGATTTGAGCCTCGACAGTGCTGTATCATTCGCCTGAACTAGTATTTGGTGGGCAATCTCTTTTAGACTGCGACAGTTGATCTACTTGTAGGTTGTGAACAATTGATCTTATCGAACTAATGCTTGATTTAATCACCTAGGGACATACCAAAAGTTTAGCGACTAGGTAGATTAACAAAGGGGTCGGAGCCTCGACAGTGGAATGATCATACCATAGTGTTTCAAGTTCTAGATTAGCACCTAAGTGCGGTAACCCTAATTGATTGATTTCATGCTTCTTGAATTGCTTATCTCAAGACTATCCTATTGCTTAGCCTTTCTCTCCTATTGAATTCATTTCTATTACTTGCATGCTTTACTTTCTCTGCACTCAACCAACTTATACTTTTGCCCTAGCTCGATCTCAAACTCATAGCTTGTAGTGTGCAATCTGGTCCTTGTGTTCGATACCCGTTTACTACTTCTGACCTGTGCACTTGCAGAATCAGGGATAGGAAAGGGGAAGACCTGATCCCGCGATCAAGTTTTTGGCGCCGTTGCCGGGGACCAATTCGCACCTACAAGCTCTTGCAAGAGAGCTAGTCTAGGGTTTCTTTTCCTTTTTGATTTTTCCTTTTTCCTTTTGATTTGGTTTTTCCTTTTTGTTTTTGCTTTTCAGGTTTTCCTAGTTAGATATGGAGAAGGAGCCACAAGCCTCTTCCCCTATAAAGGCGATGCCACTTCGCCACATACCACCTCAAAGACCTCTTGAGCGAACAAGAGATGTCAAGCCCTCAAGCACCACCACCTTCATGGGATAGTCCTCCAAGACCATCCACTTTGAAGACCAAGAAGAAACTTCTTCCTTACCTTGAAGCAGCCGACCTGGAGACGTCTAGCCAAGCCGCATCACAGAGAAGAACACCTTCTAGCCACACCAGAAGAGGAGATTGACCCTGAGCTGATA